CACACACACACACACTCTCTCTCTCTCTCTCTCTCTCACACACACACATACACACACATATATACACACTTACTCACTGATTCACTCTCGCTCTCACACACACACACTCCCTCCTTCACTTATTTCCTCCATGTCAGCCATAAATGAGTGAGTAATGGTTTTTGAAGCTGGTTGAACTTTAATTACAGCAGAAAAGAATGTCACTGCACCACATAGCAGACCAGTCACACACCCACACAAACACACACTCTGGGCTAACATTTCATTCAGACTCATATCCAGCTAATATACTATTTTTATTCACCTTTTACTTCACTAAAAATGCAGCATGAAACACACAATAAAGTACATAAAAAGAAACTAAACTAAAGTAAATGTGCCCTGATTTTAATTACGAGCTTTTCTTACCCATCAATCTGAAGCCGATCACACTGATGAGGGCCAGAAGTTTCGTCATGCTGCTGGTTTATTCTGCCAATATATTGCTCTGTTGTTCCTCAACACATCTCCTCATGTTCTCACCCGCTTCTTCTGTTAATCCATTTTAAACTGTGTTCTGAAAATCCACGTTTGTCCGCATAATAAAGAAAGTATGCGAGATGAAGCTGCAGTTCTGTCACGAAACGTGAGCTGGATGTGGCTCCGAGGCTGATAAAGTCATGATTGAGCTCCGTTCTAACGCGCTCAGGTGAGCGTCCACACACACCTGTCCTGCAGGTTCACCTAGGCTCCGCCCACCACTTCCGCTCTCACGCGCGCTTAAAGACAGACTTTGACATTTGATTTAAGCACTGAACCATAAATCTTTACTTATGAAGAAATGTATAAAAGGCTCAGCTCTCTGAACGCACGTCGAGGTGTGAAGTTTGTTTTGTTGGTGTTTTGTGATGTAGAAATGAACAGGACAAACCAGTTCAGATGCAAATTCCTCACATTTCTTGTTAACATGCCAACAAGCAGCCAAAAAAATGTCAACTCCAATGAATAGAGATATACAGAGTTTGTTTTTACTTTATAGTAAAAGAAAGCTATTAATATTATTATTATTTAATAAGTTATTTTTATTTTATTATTGATATAACCTTAATACTTTTTAAATTCTATGTATATGCGTGTTCATTTATATGTATTTGTGCAGTAGTTATTTCTGTCGTTCTAATTTGAATGGTCACGTGGTGTGTGCTGAATAGTTTACCCGCGCTGGGATTTTCTCTGGTTTATGTAGTTAATTATTAAGTTTATTTCCCAGACAATCGTTCAAACTGTTTTATAGCGCCATCTGCTGGTCAACACATTGGACATGGCAAATAAATCGCTAATTGTTCACATTAAGTTATGATGAACGCGTTATTTCTGAATGTTCTCTGAAGGTACAATGTTTCAAATGTTGTTGTTTTGTTACACAAACGTTAAAGGAACGTTCCATTTCGCAAACATCAAAGAACGTTCCGAAACCAGTAGTAACATTTACAAAACGTTTGAAGAACGTCAAACATGGGAACGCTTGAGAATGTTATTAAAGGGCAGATGAAGTTGAATCAACGTTCTATTAACGTTACTGGAAGAACATTTGTTCTGAGAACGTTCCTTAGCTGGGTTGTTTTATTTAGTTTAGTTTTAGCGACATATATTTATACAATGACATTTTTACTACTGTTCCGGTCATGATATTGTTGATTTGTTTTGAGTTACATTCACATTATATTTACAGGAATTCATTTAGCAGATGTTTTTTTTTTTTCATCCAAAGTGACATAAAACTGAGAAATCTTGAGGCATTCAAATTATTATTATCAACGCATAAGTAAGTATTAGCCGTTATAGATAAATCACAAACTGCAGTGAACTGTTAAACAATTTTCACTACAAACCAGTGTGTTTATAATTATGATAATGAATTAAAGTAATATGAAAAGAGATACCAGTTTGCATTATCAAGCAGCATAACGAGCTGTTTTGTACACATTCAACTTACAAACAGCAGGCACCATACGCCATGCACAACAATGAAACACACTATTAATCTGTCCGAGTTAAAAATATAATTTTATTATGTTGAAATGAAGAGCCTTACACATGCATTTTATACATTAATTGTGACGTTTGTCTCAAAGACACATGCAAACAACGACAATAAAGCAGAATCTCATGATCAACCAAAGCTCTGCTAGCTCGCTTACTCTAAACACAGCACAAATATAGTTTGTAGGACACCAGCACTGAATGAGCTTCTCAGGCCAGAGGCTTTTTCTTCCCGGGATGGAGAGTGTCGTAGGTGTCCACATCTCGCCGGCCCAGATCCTGAAGAAGCACAGACACATGAAATCACTGCAGCAGTCACTCACTCATCACCAGACAGCATGAAGCTCATTAACAGCACAGTACCTGATAAATGTCTCCTTCTCGTTTCTGAAAAACACAAGAGGACAGTGAATGGGAGAAGTGACTCTTGCTCAAGACTGTGGTGTTTGTCCTTAAGTGTTAGTCAACACTGATTCCGCTTTCTGATCCTCTTTATGCTCTCTTCCGACTCTTTTATTCCTTCATTCTTTCTCTTAAGTGAACTAAGAGGACATTATAACATGACAAGATGAACGTGAAAAAGAGCAACTAGAGCATGTTTATCGGACTGACTGACGGGGTTTTACTGTGTGTTTGTGGGTTGCATTTATTTCTGAGGTGCCTCACAAATATAGTGCACATTTTCAAATATATTTGTGTGTGTGTGTGTGTGTTAAATGATCTATACTTTAAGGATAAATTTGTCATCAGAAAGTGAGCTAAATCTGGATATTGGAGTTTGAGTTAATCAGTCATAACTTGTTTTATATCAAAGACAATAGTGCGTCTTTATTTAGTTAATGTGAGCCCAGCTAACAAGGTTATGAATAAACATTCTCTAGTAATGTTCATTTAGAGTTATCTGGTCATTAACGTCCTCAAAATGTTATTTAGACATCATTCATGGAATGTTTTTTTCCTGAAATGTTTTTTTAGTCGAACGTTCATCTAATATTTTTTTAATGTTACTTGTTTCAGGACATAAAAAAAAAAAATCTAAAGTAATGTTTCCATAATGTTTGGAAAATTGTAAAATGGAATGTTCCCTTAAGGTTCACATAACCAAGAAAAAAAATTTCAAAATCGAATGTTGTAAACCTTCTGAGAATGTGCAGAAATATGACCTAATGGGAACGTTAGCTAAATGTTCTTAGAACTGTTTTTACAAATGAGGATGTCTTCAAAAATGTTAGCTGGATGTGTGTGTGTGTGTGTGTGTGTGTGTGTGTGGTGAGTGTGTGTGTGTGTGTGTGTGTACTGGTTTATATATCCTGGTGGGGACTTAAACCTGACTACACACAGACTCATGGGGACTCGTGTCACGGTGGGGACCTAAATTGTGGTCACAAGTCACCTTTATTTCTATAGTGCTTTATACAGTACTGATTGAGAACAATAGTATGTCAATAATGCAAGAGCATTATAGTAAAATTCCTAACTGTGCTTAAAATTATTTATAAGACCATACAGTGCATTACGAGGCAAAATTAATGCATTAAAACTACATATATAATGCATCATATATGAAGGCTTTAAGTGTTACTGTTTTTCTTTTTTAAACTGTAAAAATGCAGAACGTTCTCTGTTAGTGCTTGGTTTTAGTATTTATAACTAGCTGTATATAAAAGTAATACGTCCGTATTTAGATAACTACGTAAATGTGTGCATGCATGTGTGTTTGTGTTTTTAATAGCTCTCTGTGGTCAGCTGAAGAACAAGAAATAGAAATGCGACAATAGAATCAGCAGAAACAAACCACAGAGACAAGTGAACCCACCTCTGAGAAAGCTTTATCTCCAGACGAACGCATCTGAGAACAAACAACCAGTGAACATTACTTTCATCATCAGAGAAATTCAGTTCAACATCAAAAACATATTCCCTTCATAACTCAAAATCTAAACGTACAGTGAAGGCCGTGTCACAAAATTGAGGTATTTTTAATTTAATCGTGCAAACGAAGTTTTGGGATTTTAACAAACTGAAAATAAGCAGGTGAAATGTAGATTTCAGTGTAATCTAGAATGCAGTATTTGTTTAGGTGTTGTTCACCGTTCAAAACTGCACTGAGAAAGTATTTAAATCCCAATTTAATTACTACATTTAAATTGAATGTGTTCATGAAAACATGAACTGAAAGTTGAAGCTTGAAGAAAATAGATTTATATTTTATGGAAAGGAAGATATAGAGGAGGAAGACTGATTGTGATAAAGAAATTCCCTTTTTATATTCTGCATTTATTTAAATTATAAGCTTTTATTTCGTTCATTTATTTATTTATTTTCACATACAAATACAATAAAATAAATTCACCTTGCCTTGAATGGGAACCTCAGTCATTTGGTAGAGATTCATAATAAAAAAAAATGCCTATAAAAATGATTAATATTGCTTGAAGGTGCTCTAAGGAACTACAAAATGCATGGAAATAATGTTTGTTTTTTTATGGGTGCATCCAATTAAAGTGTTAATTCAGGACATGGCAAGAGTGGATTTTCTTGCCAAAATATGTTGTTTTAATTTCTGTAAATCTTGTTAATGTACAAGTCAATAGAATAATAATTAGATTTATATTTATCTTACTAGTAAACTAATATTTTTTAGTCACCATAAAGGTAATTTATTCTATAAATGGGTGGAAAATGACACTAAATGTCTTGATGAAGTGTCACCTTTAATCTGCAGTAGAGGACGGTCAGAACAATGCCGTAAACAATCAGAATCCCATCCAGAATGTAACACACTCCTCCATCCTGCTGCGCAGCTGACAAACAACAAGATCTTTCACACAACAGCTTCAACAAATGCCATCCACGTGAAAAAGCATTATTGTAATACAAGTAAATAAATAATTAATACATTTATAATGATTCAATAAACATGCTTAATGTTAAATGTTTAAAGCAATATATTATAATGTTTAAATATTTAAAACAATTATAAATGTTTAGATGCTTAAAGCATACACTCTAAAAAATGCTGGGTTGTTTCAACCCAACTTTGGGTCAAATATGGGCTAACCCAACCGTTGGGTTACATTTTTACATTACATTTTTAACCCAAAAGTTGGGTTGAAACAACCCAGCATTTTTTAGAGTGTAGTTTTTATGCACCCAATGCACGCCAAACAAGGAATCCAGTTGTAAATGAATTCAAAAAAATCGAATTAATTTGTAATATAGCTAAAATTAAATTAAATTGATTCAAAATGACTATGTATTTGTTTAATGCGGAACAGGAAGAGGTGGTTTAATTTGACCTTTCCTAAACAAATTTTTACACTTTTCTGTTACAGATGTGTCGGTCAGGATTTCTCGGGGGGTTCTGTGTCGGATAAAGTTTGATTGGATCTGATCTTACCGACTCGTCCGGCGTTGAGCAGGAGAATCAGACAGACGTCCAGCGACTGCATCTTTCCTCTGAAATGACAGACAGAGGGAGAGTCAAGCAGAAATGAGTGAAGAGGAAGAGTGAACCATGGCAGTAAAAAAAAGGTTCATTTAACAGGAAGCTGTGGGTTGAGACAAAGTGTCCGAAATACACACTCGCACATACACTGACATACATGCAATTTCACACCAGCGTCCTTTTTTTCTCTTTTTTTACGTCTCATGCACATACAACACTGAAAGCAGAGCACGAGTCCTTCCTGTTTCTCAGAGAAGTGAGGAGCGTTTCAGACAAATGACTGGAAAAGAGCTGCTGGTTTCTGCTGCCATCACAGAGGACGTCTAACGTTTCCAAACTACAGTGATTTTCATCCTCTGTATTTTTGTCTTGTTTTCCAATACAAATATCTGAACATTCTTTAATCAGCTATAAAGAACTAGAGAAGCAAAATTAAAATTACATTTAAAATTGAACAAAATTAAGTGAGTTTATGCTTCAAATTTAAAGAATATCTGGCAGTGGGCTCAGAAAAATATGCATAATTTAAAACTAGATTATTATTGGCTGATAATTTTTTTTTTCCAGAAAACAATACTTCTTATTTTCTGTCAAAAAGGAAAAACATCAATTTTTGCAACAAACAGGCCACCAAAAATATCTGTTGCTAGGGTGTTGTTATGGGGTTGCTAGGGTGTTCTGGGTGGTTGTTATGATGAGGCTGGTTGTCAGTGTGTTGCTATGAGGTTGCTAGCTTGTGCGTGGTTGTCAGGGAGTTGCTATGGGGTTCTACTTTATCTATATTTATCTTCTTTTTTTATAAAAAAAACACTAGCTTTCTATTTTTACTATTCTATCTACTTATTTTTCTTTGTGTGTGTGTGTATAATATATATATATATATACAGTGTTGGGAGTAACGCATTACAAAAGTAATAATATTACAGTAGTACATTACTTTTTGCTGTAACGCAGAAATATAACGCATTACTAATCAAATTTGGGTAATATTATTACTCGTTACAATCTCAGTAACGCAAGTTACAACAATATATTTTAAATCAAAATTAATTGGTGAATTTACCAACACCGCAAAACAGCATAGGAGAAAAAATTCCGCGGGTAAAATAGTTTGTCTATTTCCTGTTGCTGGAATTAGATGGTTGAGATGACTGCAGAGACGGATTCTACATTTGTGAGATGGACACACTCCTGTTATTTTCAGTTCATCGGAGAAAAGGATAAGAATGCTTAGCAATATGTGCGTACGGTGGCCGAGAAGTGCAGAGCAAATCACAATTCTGAAAACAAAATAACAAATTACAAATGCAAATGCAAGTCTAAAAAACAAAATAACAATTCAGAAA